AGCACCTGTTTCGCAGCGTTGGGTCTCGGGCTCCTCGCGTCAAAGGAGAGATCGCGGCGGGGGGTCCTTTGGGACATGGCTCTCCAGTCCTGGTGGTGGGGGGCCCTCGTGCCGAGCCCCAGGTCCGACGGGAGAACGGCTCGGCTTGTGTGGTTCCCATCCTACTCCAGATTTCGTAATAAAAGGGAGGGGGACTGGACCCTCCAAGACAAGCCATTTCAGACTCCCCCCCCCGTGGGAGGAACCTCCAAAACATCGTCCCCAGACCCCCCCAGGCCCTCCCCTATAGCCTGGAAGAGACCCCCCCCCGAAATGAGACCCCCCTCCCTTTATTACGAAATCTGGAGTACTTAAGGGCCACATCCCAGAAATAATCTCGAGCACCCGGAGAAGTGTCAAGAGAGCGCCAAAAGAGTGTCGGAACAGTGTCGGGCGAGTGCCTCCCAGGGCCCGACACGTGAAAACCCCCGAGTTTCGGGACTTGTTCTTTCTGGCGCTCGAGATTCTTTCTGGTGGTCGAGGCTAAAGTAGGTTGGAACATCATAAGGCTCGGGATGGTAAACATGCCCTGGGGGGAGGGTGTTTTTTGTTCCGTCGGTTCACGCTGACCGTGTTAGGTCTGACTGGGAAAGCGGTCGCCCCGATGGGCCCTTCTGCCTCCTCCTCGTCCTCCTCCTCCTCCTTCTCCTCCTCCTCCGCTTCCTCCTCCTCCTCATCATCATCCTCCCCCCTCCTGCATCCGTCCTCCACCTCCTCCTTTCGAGGCCTCAGCAGTCCCGAACAGGGGGGGCAGGCGGGGGGGCAACAAGAGAATAGCGAATCCTCGACCCTCGATTCCCCTTTCACCCTCTCTCCCCCTCCCCCCTCCTACCTCTTGACGCCGAAGCAGGGGGAGTCTCCCGGGAAAGGCCCAGGCTATCCCGGCCAGCTGGGGATCGCGGGGCCGACATGGCGGCGGGCCTGGCCACCAGCGGCTCGAGCCCGCCGTCGCCAGAGGTGAAAGAGCAGGACAAGCAGGAGGTTTTGAGCGCTTCTCCATACAGTCAGTCCGTATGGTCAGGACGCGCAGTGAGGGTGCAAGGGCCTTGGCAGGCCATGTCGACACTCCGCGACCGGGGCGCGGCCAGCGAGAGCAGCCAGGACAGGACAAGATAGGCGCCGATGTGCGCCCCGGGGGGCGGCCCTCCAAGAGCTCGGCGGGGGCGCCGGAGCGCCGAAACTCAGATGCCGTGGCACATGGTTGCTTCACGATCTCGAGCGTGTACTATTGGCCCCACTGATAGAATCCTCCCCCTTGCGAAACAGAGGCCGCCTAGATGGGGTCCTAGTAGATGGGGTCGGAAGATCGCGCCGCATCACCGATACATCGGCGATGCAACGGCGACGTCGCTTGTGTATCGGCGACGCCCGCGCGGAGAAAGTCGGGCTCCACATCGCGCCGCATCGGCGATGCATCGGCGATGCGGCGCGATCCTCCGACCCCATCTACTCGGACCCCATCTAGGAGGCCTAGACGAAAGCAGCCAGGGATGGGCCGAAACTCGGATGTCGTGGCACCTGGTTACTCTACGATCTCGAGAGTGTGCTAGTGGCTCCACTGATCGAATCCTCCCCCTTGCAAAAGGAAGCAGCCAGGGATGGGCCGAAGGGGAAGGATGCAAGGGTAACGTTGGAAAATGCAGTGGTTGGGCCTCCAGGCTCCTCGGCGCCACGGCGGGGCTCTCTCTATCGACTCGCGAGCGCGCGGTCGGGAGAAGCACGCCCCGGGGAGGCCTGAGGCGGCTGCTGGAGGAGGGGGAGAAAGGGGAGGGAGGAGGAGGACGGATGAGGCAGGAGGGAGGAGGACGGAGGAGGGAGGAGGAGGACGGAGGAGGGAGGAGGTAGACAGGATGCGAGGACGGAGGAGGGAGGAGCGGCGGAGGAGCGAGGGGGGAGGGGAGGGGGGCGGGGGAAGGAAAGGGGAGGGGCGGGACGGAGGAGGGAGGCGCTCAGAGGTTGCCCGCTGCGCTGCGCTCCTCCCAATCGGCCCGAAGGCCGTGCCAATCTAGAGCTCGGGGGAAAAGAAATCTTGGCCCGTGCCTGCGGCACCCGGCAATCTGTGCGATGGCCATACATGGATTGCTGCTCGGGAACTTTTCTTCCCGCCTGCTCCCTCCTGGCCCCCCTCCTCCTACACCTCCTCTCCTCCTCCTCCCTCCTCCTCTCCTCCTCCTCCTCTCCTCCTCCTCTCTCCTCCTCCTCATCCTCCCCTCCTCTCCTCCCCCCCCTCCTCCCCCTCCTCCTCCTCCTCCCCCAGTACACCCGCCAATCCTCACCCCTCCCCCTGCTCCTGCTCCGCTCCTGCCTGCCCGAGAGGTTGCCCGACGGCCCCAAAAAAAATCACAAGTTCCATGTGGCTTCGGGGATCACAACAGTAAACGGGACCACTAACGTCGGGGACACACGTTCTTGACGTGACTTTGCAATTGCATGTGTTGCGGTGCAATGCTACTGTTCTGCCGGGAGGGACCGCTCCCTAAGAACGGTCGCCGAGGTTCTCCCTCGAGGCCGTCAACAACGGCAACCGGTTCGACCCCCAGGAGGTTCTCAAGAAAGATTTCCAGACTATCTGGAGGCTTCCGAGGGCCTTTTGACAATGAGGAACCGGCAGGCCTGGGAGGACGTGGGTCGAGCGCTGCGCCAGCCCTCCTCGTCCTCCTTTCTCGTCCCCCCCCCCATCCCGAAGACACCAAGACCCCACCCCCCCCCAAACACAAAGAACTCAATCCTCGGTCCTCGACCTCGATGCTCCTCCGGGCGTCCCAGGTCCACGCCGCGGCCGATCGGTCGAGCAAGGAACATACTCAAATTACTCGAGGCTGGGGCGTGTTCCGGAGGAGAAGGAGGAGGAGGAGGAGGAGGAGGAGGAGGAGCAGGAGGAGAAGGCGGCAGAGCAGGAGGAGGAGGAGCAGGAGGAGGAGGAGGAGGAGGAGGTGGAGGAGGCGGAGGAGGAGGAGATGGAGAAGGAGCGCACGGCACGAGCAGAGGGAGGAGGGAGGTATACGGAGGATTATGGCGATGGAGGCGGAGGAGTGATGCCGGGGGTGGATGGACGGAGCGAGGAGGAGAGGGAGCGAGGAGGAGGAAGAATGAGAGGAAGAGGTGGAGGATGGCGGAGGAGGAGGAGATGAGGAGGACGGAGGAGGAGGAGGAGGAGGAGTAGTGGAGGAGGTGGAGGAGGGAGGAGGAGGAGGAGGAAAGAGGAGAGAGGAGGATGAGGAGGAGGAGGAGGAGGAGGAGGAGGAGGAGGGAGCGCAGGCACGACCACGGCGACGGGCAGGCGGGAGGCCAGGGCCGGCGGCACGAGGCAGGCGAGCGGGCAGGCGGGAAGGAGACGGAGGCACGACAGAGCCCAGAAGCGAATCGGCGCGAATAGGGGGCCACATGCGAACCCTACCCCTACCCCCCACGATTTCTGAGGGGGGGGGTTCACTCCGTTCGGGAGCTCCCGAGCGAAGTGAACCCCACCCTCCCCCTCAGAAATCGTGGGGGCTAGGGGTAGGGTTCGCATGTGGTCCCCTGAGCCAGGTCGGGAGGAGTCGAATCAGCACAGCAGTAGGGCCTCATTGAGAAATCGGAGTCCAAGATCAGAGTCCCAAATCGAGTCGAATCGGAATCGGAGGAGCTCGGAACCGAATCGCATCGAACCGGAGGAATCGGCATGAGCCCTGCAGAGGGGCGACAGCGAACGGGGAACGAGGGAGGAGAAGGCGAGGGAGAGGAGGGACGGAGGACCAGACCTCGGGGCGACCACGGCGGTGGGCGCCGACGTCGGCGGTACGAGCCGGTCGCCGCCGCCGCCGCCGCCGTCGTCAAAGGGGGCGGGTCGGACTCGGCCCGAGGCTCTGGCGCCCCCCCGTTCTCGAGACGCTCCGACGCGCGCCACGGTCGCGGGCCTCCGCCCGCGGAAGGGCTCTCTCTGCACCGAGTCGGACCTGGGCCAGAAGAGCATCCCTCAAGAGCATGAGACCCTCCGCTGGCCAAAACACGTAGAACATCCGAGGGTAGCATCCCAAGGATGCACAAGAACAGCCAGCAAACACTAATTAAGAACACTGGCGCACCCTCCCCAGAGCCGACCTCGACCTTGTACCTCGGGCCGACTGTACGCGATCCCTGAAGTCCCGACTCTTCTCCCGGGACCGACGTTTCATCCTGAGTCGCTTCTTGACGGCCCCGCACCCCGGTGCGGGCACCCCGAGACCGAAACCAGGGAAAATCCTCTGGACTGCTTCCTCTCAGGAGGGGAAGGAACACACAGACACAATTAATCGGCGATTCCCCCGAAAATATGGGAAAATATGGGAAGAGGGGGGGGAAGACAGAACCCCAGAAAATAAGGGAAAATATGGGGAATCTTTCTATCTGTGTGTATTTCTTTGTGTGCCCCAGGGCCCCTTCATCCTCGTGGGCGCGAGCTGTGAGCATGCCTGGGCCAAGGAGGGCGCCCGCCCCGATCAGACCTCGGATCTCCCGTGCCTCGGGCCGACCTGTGCACACTGCACACCAGCTCTCAGTGGGCCCTGGAAACTCCAAGGGGAGGAGGAGGAGGAGGAGGAGGAGGAGGAGGAGAAGGAGGAGGAGGAGGAGGAGGAGGAGGAGGAGGAGGAGGAGGAGGAGGAGGAGGAGGGAGGGTAGGGGGGAGGAGGAGGAGGAGGAGGAGGAGGCAGGAGGAGGGAAGGGACGGCGCCAGGAACCAGCCCGGAGGCGCGGTCAGCGCGCATGGCTTAGGGGCAGGCGTAGCCAGGTAGCGCGTTATGGTACATTTCTTGAGCGACGCGCGGAGCGCGACCGACCCCACGACGGGCGACGAGCGGCGCAGCTGGGAGTCGTATGGTTTCAGAAAAGTTATGGGTTCACGCCTATCCGCACGCGAGGGGGGGCAGGAGAGGAGGGAGAGGAGTGGGGGACCCGCGAGAGGAAGGAGGAAGGAGGAACAAAAGAAGAAAACGGGAGGGAAAGGGGAGGAGGAGGAGGAGGAGGGCCGGCGTGGGCCGAAACGACAGGGCCGCTTTGTTACCGGCTCCGTCTTGCCGTTTTTTTTTGCCGGTTCCGTTTTGCCGTTTTTTTACCGGTTCCGTCGCCGTTTCTTGACCGGCTCCGGCTCCAGCTCCGATCCTGGAGCCGTTTTTGTTGCCGCTTCCGGTCGCCGTGTTTTTTTGCCGTTTCCATTTTCAACGGGCATTTTTGGAGGACACGGTGCAAAAAAACGGCCCTGCCGCTTCCGGGGCCCACAAGGCACCAGCTGCCGTCAGAGCAAGGCCGCGAGAGCGCGGGGGGGGGGAGCGCGCGAGGCAAGGCCCTGCGGCGAAGGCCCTGGGCCTCCGGCACCGAGGAGCGCGCCACGGCGTGGACGAGGGCCCCCCAACGCGCAGGGCGAAGGGCGCCGGGGCTGTCCTTTGTGACCCTCGCCGCCAGCCCTGGCGAGGCCCTGAACGAAGAGCGTCCCAGCCTGGAGGGTCCCCACACGCAGGGCGAAGGGCTCCAGGGCTGTCCTCGTGACCCTCGCGCCAGACCTGGAGAGATGCCCTCAACGGAGAGCACTCCACAGCGGGGAGGGCTCAAGAACGAAGATCGAGGAACGCCAGGAGGGCCCCAACGCGAAGGGCGGAAAGCGCCAGGGCTGTCCTTTTGACCCTCGCGCCAGCCGTGGAAAGATGCCCCAAACGAAGAGAACTCCAGCGTGGAGGACCCCGAAGCGAAGGGCGAAGAGCGCCAGGTTTGTCCTTTTGACCCTCGCGCCAGCCCTGGAGAGATGCCATAGACGAAGAGCACTCCAGCGTGGAGAGCCCCGAAGCGAAGATCGAAGAGCGCCAGGGCTGTTCCTGGCCCTCCCGCCAGCTGCACCAGGCGAGGGGGTGAGAGCTTGAAAGCGAGTCCCAGGGCGGCCCACGGTCTCATCCTCACCGTCTCATCAGATTCCTCCTCCCGCCCTCTTCGCA